TGCCCTGAGTTCGAGCGTTTTTTCCGGTGTGTGTTTCCCTGTGTTCTGACCTCTGCTACGTTTCCTAGACTCTGAGTTTCTGCCCGCCCCCTTTCTGGACTGACGCCGATCGCCCGACCTCAGCCTGGACCCTCGACTGTGTTTTTCGCCTCTGCCTCTTTCTGGACCAACGCCGATCGCCCGATCCCTGCCTGGATTCCCGACCGTGTTTTGCGCCTCTCCCTCGTCTGTACCGAAGCTGATCTTCCTATCTCCTCGCCCGAGTTTCAGCTACATTCTCGGGCTCTGCCCTGGGTACCTCTGACTTCCCTAAGGAGAGAAGTAAATAAACAACAGGACTTACAGCTTTGCCGCGTCAGTGTCCGTCTTATTGCCTTCTCAACAGATACAGCACCTCAAAAACAAACACCCGACACAATACAGCGAGTTTACCCAGGCAACCCAGCCGAAGTCGAGTCAGCTCACGCTGCAGGAGAGTTTGAATAGGAGAGAAAAAATGCCCCGTGACAGCGCGAAGGCGCAGGACATCACAGCCAATATAGCAATGAGTCGCAATGAGTGACCTGCCATTCGCCTTTGTAGAGAACCCTGGATTTCTTATGCTTATAGAGCACGTAGAACCTCAATTTGAAATGCCGTCTCGCCACTATTTCACCGAGAAAGCTCTGCCAGCCCTTTATAAGAAGATTTCTGACAAACTACTTGTCCTGTTATCAGATGTACTCCATGTTTCGTTCACCACAGCCATCTGGAGTTCATCCGTAGCTCCCATGTCTCTACTAAGCCTCACCGCACCGCACATCCCTACATGTCCAGGAATTTCGTGGATGGCACACCGCAGAGCACATCCAGCAATCGATGGAAAAGATGATAGACAACTGGGAAATTGGCAAGCAACGGGTCCACGAAATTTTGCGTAACAACGCGGCAAATATGAAGAAAGCTATGAGGGATATGGGGGTGCCGAGTGTGGGCTGTGTCACCCATTCCTGTCAACTCTGTGTGCATGAGGGCCTGCTGTCTCATCGCAGCATGACAGAGACCCTGGCAAACGCAAGGAAGATTATAGGCCATTTTAAACACTCCCCATTGGCCTACTCTCAACTAGAAGACATACAGATGGACCTAAATATGGATATCAAGCGCCTACAGCAAGATGTACAGGTGAGATTCCTCTCGTAACATTCTTTAATGTATTTCTATTTTATTATTATTTCCCATACACTTGATTTAGTAAGCCACTAATACATTACGTGCTCTGCACCTAATTTGCACAAAAATAAAGTGAATCATGTTCTCTTATGTGCAGACATGATGGAACAGCAGCCTCTACATGCTGCAGAGCCTACTGCAACAAAAACGTGCTCTTAGTCTTTGCAGCTGAGCGCACTCTACCAGCAACACTGACAGCTCACCAGTGGGAGCTGATGAATAAGACTGCTGATGTGCTATCCCCCTTTGAAGAGCTGACCAGGGATGTGAGCAGGGAGACTGCAACTGCAACTGATGTGATCCCTGCCATAACAGGTAATTTGTATTTTTATTCATTACTTTATACTGTAACATTTATTGATGGAATGGATTAAGTCATTCATTCACTCATTAGTCCTCAGACGTGTTCTGTCTCGGGAGGGTGATGATGACCAGGGAATAAAAACAATGAAGAGGACTCTGCTGGAGGCAGTGGAGAAGCGCTTTGCTGATGTTGAAACTGAGCCAGATACAAAGATGGGCAAGTATAGTAAAATTAAAATGCACCTTTTGTACATCATGTTTATATAAAGTCAAGTCATCACCAGACACCAGTATTAAGCCAATTTATTTTTTACTTTCTTTTTAATTTAGTTTTGCGTAATTTAGTTCTAAGGTTAGATTTTTTTTATTGTTTATTAATTGAGTACATGTGTAGGCAGTTGCCTAACTGAAGAGCTGTGCTATGTGGTGTCTCTTGTCTTATTGTTTTGAATTGTGTGTTACTTTTATCTGTTTCTAGCTTTTTCACAAAGTCAGCCAACCTGTTGCTTGCAAAGGAACACCTGATCCAGGAGGTGGCAAAGACAGAGGGGAGGAGGGCTGTCAGTGCAGTGCCAGAGGAAAATGAGGCTGCAGCAGGGCCAGTGAGCAGGGCCCCACATCATGAAGCATGTAGCAGCCTGGACATCGCCTTTGAGGAAATCTTACAAGAGAGGCAGTCACAGGGATGGTCTGTGAGTACCACATCAGCAGAAACTCAAGTGCAGACCTACCTCTCAGAAAAAAACACCGCTAAGAAAAGCGACCCACTTCAGTACTGGAAAGAACATGCTAATCAGTTTCCCTCTATGGCTGCTGTTGCAACACAGTATCTCAGTGCCCCCTGCAGCTCTGTGGACAGTGAGAGACTTTTTAGTGCCGTTGCAAACGTCCTTGATGAGAACAGAAACAGGCTCAAACCTGACAAGGTAGAGATGTTAGTTTTCATTAAGAAAAACATACATTTCCTTCTGTGAAACTTACTACTGTGATGACAGTAAGAGTTAGGAGTGCAGTTCCTAAAAGCACATTACTGGCTTTGCAAACACTGTGGCACTTTTATTTTTTAATTTGTTTACATGCCTGGCGGGTATTTTAAGTTGAGGTGCTATTTGTTTTTATATTAGACTTTTTTTTATATTTATTGTTGCACTAAAGTCCAAAAGTGAAGAATTTATGTTATTTATTACTTGATTGTTCAAGCTACCTCACAGAAGTGCTCTGTTTGTTAACAGAGTTCTTGAATGTTAAAATAAGGTGAATTAAATAAAAAATAAGGAACATCCTGGATCTGTTTCTTCGCTCTTCTTTATTCTTTTTTTATGTATTATAGAAGTATCAGATTGGACTCGGTATCGGTAGATACTCAAAATCAAATGACTCTGACTTGGACTCGAGGGCAAAAAAACCTGATCGGGACATCCCTAGTCATGATAATCGAAGAGGGTGACCAAGTGTTAATAGCCAATAAGGATGAGCAAGGCCGTCGCAAGCTGGCTGACAGATGGGAATCTGTACTTTACACTGTGCTTTCCAAAGACACAAAATATCACACTTACCGAGTGAAGAATACCAGCACAGGTCATGAGAGGGTGGTTCACCGGAAATTAATGCTGCAAGATAATTTCTTGCCTCTTGAGGTGGAAGACAATGGTGAAGCATTTTCTAATTGGCCAGAGTCCAACTGTGACAGTGCAGCCGGAGCCCCAGAGCAGACATTGGCATCTGAGAGAACTGCAAGCTGGGTAGCCGAGGTGTCCAGTCTCTAGTGTTGTAGTCAAGACCGCCTAAACCGAGACCAAGACATTGCCGAGACCGGAGGGTATCAAGACCAAGACACTGCCGAGACTTGAGGGTACCAAGACCAAGTCCAAGACCAAGACCAAGACACACTAAGGCGAGACCAAGACCAAGACTGGTCGAGACCAAGACCAAGACCGAAAACAGACTAGGGCTAGAATCGACATCACATTACCCAGATCAACTGTAGAGAAAAAAGGCATTGCTGTAAAGTGTCATTACTCGTTAAATCAAATTCATGTTATCTTTTCAATTATATTGTCCGTATGTCCATATGTCTCTCATTTAAAATCTCCCAGATTTGTCATAGTTACGAGACCTGATAGAAAATAATATTCTCAGCAATCCTCTCCTATAACCATTTTATCAGACCTCGTCAAGGGAAAGAGATGGGACAGAGGCCTCGGGTAAGCTATGAATACAGCTATGTAATGATCCTTTGCTTTGAATTGAAGAGAATGAGCCTCCAGATTGACTTGCACCTCCAAGACCGTGCTTTCTAATCAATGTAAAATACCTAATTTATTTGAATTATAACTATGCTATAGACTTCGCGGACATTTTCGGACATTTTTTTGCCGATGTATGATATGATGTGTATGATGTGTGTGGACTGTGAAGCACTGGCAGTGTCCGTGGAGAAAATGTATAAAATGTAATGTTTTTGAAATGGATGCATCTGACTGGTTGCATTTGAATTGAGGCGCGTAATAAATAATGATACTGTTCTGTGAGGATGTGCAGTTTTCTCTTTTTTTCCTCATCCCATCGAGACCGCTATGTCCGAGACCAAGACAAGACCGAGACCAAATAGAGTCGAGACCAAGACAAGACCGAGACCAAATAGAGTCGAGACCAAGACAAGACCGAGACCACAAAAAATTGGTCTCGAGACCAAGACCGGTCTCGAGAACTACAACACTACCAGTCTCAATGGACCTTCTGAAAGCTTACATTCCATTGAGGCAGAAGTTGAGCAGCCACTGGATAGTGAGGACTTTAGGTCTGAAGCTGATCATTCTCAGTCCAGTGTACCCGAAATGAACCAGAGTGGAGAATGTTTGGGGAGTGAAGGTCCTAGACTCACCCCAAGAAAGTCAGAAGCATCCAGCATTCTGTCCCATAACAGAGTCCCACCAGTTGATAGTTAATAACAGATAAAACCAGTGAGTGAAATGGCGGCCCAGGTGAAAACACGAACAGGCAGGCTTGTAAAACCTCTTAATAGGTTAATTCAAGAGCCACACACACACACTACATGGGTTCCCTGGGTCTTTATTGAGTTAGATTATTGTTGTAGAAATTGGCTTCATTGTTTCTAAAGGGGGTGAGTCTCTATCCAGCCATTGTGAGTGTAGTGTATTGGACACACCCTTGAGCAAGAAAATGGTGAGGAAGATTGATCAGCTTCTTTTCTGTCGTGCAGGTAACCTGTTGGTTGCAAGTAGATGGTATTAAGTAGTTGTATATGGTAGACACTGTTACCAGCCCCTGGCCTAGCAGTTACTGGTTATAGTTCAACACTGTAACAAAGTTTTGTGAAGTGTAGCGGGGAGAATGTAGCAGTGGAAATATTTTATTTCTTTTATATATATATATATATATACTCTTCAGAGGCACGGTGGGTGCTGTTGCGGTAAGCAGGCTGCGGCTAGCTTTCCCACATTTTGTGGACAGGCAGAGTGGTTGCTGTTGCAGGAACAGAAAAAACTGCAGTTGACTGCACAGGTGTGCAATCCCCATTCTGCTTTTATGGTGCAGGCCCAGCAGTCTTTCGGGGCTGGAAAAAGTAGCTTCGGCCCAGAAATATCGGCCCCGCACCGCCATTATTTTCGGTGTGAAAACAACAACCGGGCTGGAATTTAGGGCAGCCGTGTTGTGAAAGGGTTATCAGTGGCCACTTTCCTGAGTATATGTATCTAGTGCCAGGCAGGACCCCTTTTGCCTCCAGAACAGCCATGGATTTAACAAGGTGCTAGAAATTTTCCTTGGGCATTTTGGTTCATACAGACTTGTTATCTTCAGTCAGCTCCTGCTGATTTGTTTATGCTGCGAACCTCCCATTCCAGCTGATACCAGAGGTGCTCCATCGGATTTAGATTTGGAGATTGTGCAGGTCACTGGAGTATGTTGAAGTTAGTGCTTGTGATGCTGTGTGAAATGTCGCCTTATTCTGCTGAAGTTAGCCACTGGAAAACGAATTGACCGTATGCGTAAAGGGTTACCCAGGTCAGTAGCAATCCTCAGGTGTGCTGCGACATACAGATCAGGTTAAATACATATTAAGGGACCTAATGTGTGCCAAGGAACAATTCCCCACACCATTATATTACCACTGTGAACTAGTAACACAAGGCATGATGGATTCATGCTTTGTACACCAAATTCTGGCCTCATCATCTGCCTGTTGCAGCAACAACTGAGATTTTTCAGACCGGGTAATGTTTTTCCAACCTTCACTTGTTTTTGTGATGCCTTGCCCACTGCAGCCTCATTGTCCTGTTCTTAGCTGGTAACCTCGCATAGTCTCTTGAGGCTATAACCATTCCACGTAAAAGTTGTAAAGAACAGTTATTTGAGCAGTTGTGATCTCCCTGTTAGCTTGAACAAGTCTGGTGATTCTCCTCTGACCTCTGTCATCAGCATTTTTTTGTCTACAGAATTGGATAATTTTTTGTTTTTGCACAATTGTAAACTGTAGAGGCTGTTATAAATGAAAATCCCAGGGGCTCAGCAGTGAGATGTCAGAGATCATGCATCTTTGCAATTGTGATGTTTGGAATCTCTGGATCTCTTAAGCATCCATCCATCCGTTTTTATAACTGCTTGTCCTATGCAGGGTCGGGGGGGAGGGGGGGTCCAGCACTAATGAGCAATGTATTGTATTGTATTATACTAAACATACAACACTCACTCCTGTGAAAGAGTTAAAGGTTTTTTTATTCCTTGGTTTTAGTGTGCTCTGTATTGGGAAATCAAATCCTTCTTTTTGTTTTTAAGAATGATGTGTTCCTTCAGGGGCCAGAGGTAGCCGCTGAGCGAGGCAGAAGCTGGATAAATGCACACATTGGGAGTTTCTGTGTGACCTGGGAGCCCCAGTCTCACTGCCCTTTTGTCTTTTCATTTGAATGATTGCTTTTGAGATGTTTGGTGTGTATGGTCACCTTCTCATTCCAGAATCAGGGTCATCAGTCCTAAAATTACTGTTGTGCTATTTTTTTGTAATGAAAAGAGGTAAAAATAAATTATGTATTACAATTTGAACCTATGCTGACATTATGTATCCATCTATGGCTTATTATAGTAAAAAGTGCTGTCCTATTTACCGTATATTGTGAAGAACCAGTAAACATTTTTTTCTATTAATATTTCTATTTCTGCTTCAGCCTGAATGTAAGAAAGCTATCTACATGTTCACAGTGTGATTAGTGTGAAATGCTTCAAATTAGCTCTGAAGAAGGGAATAATTGTCCTCTGTCTGAGATCTCATATCGCTGCTCTTGTTGAAAAGGGCAAGACTGCAAGTGACCTTTAGTTAATGGAAAGAAAATAACGATTTTTTTCGTGTCCAGAAGCATTTTTATTTATATTCATTGTGAATCATAACTGGGACATTACTGATTGTATGAGAAGGATAAGACATGACAACCTTACTGAACTTTTAATTTTCAGTAGTAACGGTAAACATTCACACAATTTAGGCAATAAATAAAGAAAATAGACGCATAAGTACTAGCTTCGACAGTATTAGCATTTTTGTCTGTAAATAACAATCAAATTAATTTTGCCTGTAATCTTGGCAAACTGATTGTAGCTTGAGTGAATGCAGTGGATTGTTGCCCCCCAGTGGATGACTGTTCTGCTAGTGCCTCTATGACACATATATATTTTAGGTAATATTTTGAATATGCAAAGATGTACTGAGTGATCGCTGACCAGGTTTGCTCATAAGGAGGCTAAAGGCCATGGTCATCAGACAATGCATTTGCAGCTCACGCTAAACACAGGGATCAAACAACACAGGTTGTTGTTATTTCATCATGTTACATTTTATTTTTTGCTTAAAACAATAATAACCAAAGAAGTTTTACATCATAAATCTTCTGTTCTTTTCACTGAGAACCTTGCCAGACCTGATGTATACCCGCACTGGCTTTTGAATAATTCCATTTCTTTTTGTTTTTCCCCCGAGTCGTGCATGCATCATGGCTGGTGTCACTGTCTGTGAACCACTGACTTGAGTTACTCGAGAGCTAATTTCACCCTCAAACCTCTCCTTCGAAAGTGATGAACAGAAAATGTGTGAAAACGTCATCTTTTGTGCACAAAGCATTTGTACAGAGGATTTTGGAATTATAATTTTTCTTTTCCGCTCCCGCATTTTTCGGTTGTCACAAAGCTAAAATGATAATTTAATAAAACAGTAAAGCAGCCAAAAAAGTCCTCCATCACAGCAGTGTAGTAAGGCCACCAAAAAAGATGATACAATA